ACCATAAATCTATCAAATGTATTTTTCATGAATATCACTAAAAAAAAAGATATAAATGTTACTGTTAAAAGTTATATTAAGAAATATTTATTACTATTAAAAGTTATGAGGATTACATTTATTTCTTAATATACTTTTATTTCCTTTCCTATTTTAAATTTATTTTCTTGGATTGGATTTATTTCTTTCCTTATTTTAGGTTTTTCAATTTTATGTTATTTCTTTATCTCCAAATAATTAATATGAATTGATTAATTGGAGCATTAGGTATTATTTCTTTCATTTCCTTTTTTTTATTGTCATTCCTATTCTAAAATTTATGTAATAATTATCATCTTTCATATCAATAAACTATTCTATATTATTCTACATTTTAACATGCTATCAGAGAGTAATTTGTACGCTAGCCACTGATCCTCCTCCCAAAACCGCCAAGCTCGCTTCCTTCCATCCTCCATGTGGGAAAAAGGATGGGCACTCGTCTTGGTATTTGAAACAATAACTTTTGTTTCTCTCCCTACAGGCTTAGTATGTCGGTTGGCCCTTCCCAAGGCGGGAGCTTCGACTCTGTCGGCCTCTAGAAAGTAAGCGGCAGTTTTCCAACAGTTTTTCTTCTTACGGTTTTTCCTCCCATAGAGATCTATTATGTGGAGAATTTTCTGTTGTTAGCCACCCATCAAATTTTTTACATAAAGAACTATTGCATACCTGTCGTGTAGATTTATAGTCGTCGAGGAGGTTCCCCTAGCTATCACGTTTTTCCACTCTGACTGTCACTAGTTCTGCTCTTCCCTACCGATTTTCTAAAGGTTATTGTCGATGATCCTTCCGACTGGTAGTTCTAGTCGTGGGGCCTCCTTCCACTGAAGAGTCGATTCCTGGATTCCAGTCTCATACCCTCTTATCGCGAATTGGAGCGCATCTAGAGTGACAACATCCTTGAGATCCTAGTCGAGATTGTATCGTGTGGGCAACCAATTGCAGATTACCGCAGTCCTCTCACCGGCGGCCTCTCCTGGCAAGATTTCAGCCGATCATCTGTCAATCATCGACGACCCTTCTCTGATGGGTTGTTTACCGATGTTTCGTCTACTGTCCCTCCCAACCACAAGTTTCGAGGGTGTATCGTGTGGGAAACCAATTGTGGATTACCGATGCCCTCACCGGCGGCCTCTCCCTGCAAGAATTCAGCTGATTCTCTGTCGGTCAGCTCTCCCTTACATCGGCGACCCTTCTCTGATGGGTTGTGTGTCGATGTTTCCTCTACTGTACTCCCAGCCGCAAGTCTTTTGTGTTGTTCTTCCCCACAGGACCTTCCCGTTATTCTTACCCCGCAGCAGAACTTCAAAATTTTTTATTATATCAGACCCTCCTCCGAAGCTTTTCCCGCAGCAGATCCTCCACTAGAATTCTCTTGCAGCAGACCCTTCTCCAAAGTTTTTTCTTCAACAAGTCCTCCACTGAAATTTTTACTGTAGCAGACCCTTCTCCGGCGCTTTTTCCATCATCAGGCCCTCCAAAACTTTTTTCTACAACAGACCCTCCTCCAGAATCTTTCTTGAAGCACACACTCCAAAGCTTATCCTGCCGCAGGCTGTCCTCTGGAGCTTTTTTTCTATGTCAAGCCCTACAGAACTGTTCCTATAATAAAGCCTTTTCTGCAAGTCATACCCTACAAATTGTTTCATGTTGGTTGTCTACTTTCCTGCAAACTCCCCACCAGCATTACTTGTAGGAGTCATTCGCCTACCTACAGACACTGCAGAAATTATAGTAAAAAACAATCGCAGTCAACTAAAAATCAATTTTTCATGCAGATAATCTACTTTCCTGCAAACTCCCCTACAACATTACCTGTGGGAGAGTCTTCTGCCTACCTACAAACACTGTAGGAACTACAATCAAAGAAACAATAGTCAACTAGAAGTCAGCTTTTCCTGCAGCTTGTCAGCTTCCCTGCAAACTCCTCTACAATATTACATGTAAGAGTCTTCCACCTACCTATAGATACTACATAAACTGCAATAAAAAAGTATTACATTACATGATGAAAACTTCAAGTTATACTTCACAGGATCTTCCTCGCTCATTGTTTGATATTTTCAAATACAAGTTGAACATGATTATTAATCATGTTTCTACTTGAGAGGGAGCGTTAGAAGTTATATTGGAAAATAATTTATTCCTATTAAACGTTATTAGAATTAAATTTATTTTCTAATATAAATTTATTTTCTTACCTATTTTAGATTTATTTTCTTAGATTGAATTTATTTCCTTTCCTATCTTAGGCTTTTGTAGTTTTTGTTGTTTCCTCTATCTACAAATAATTACTATGGATTGATTAATTGAAGATATTAGTTGTTATATCTTTCATTTCATGTTATTTTTTTTATTGATTTTTCTATTTTAGAATTCGTGTAAGGGTTATTTATATCCGCTTTCATATCAATAAAAATATTTTGCACTATTCTGAATTTCAACAGTTACCCTCATGTCACACAAAAATATCACAATTTTATGGATGTCACATTTTTTGAACATCAATCATAAAACCACAAATTTGATGTTCAAGAAGAAAGTGCAAATAAACATCAATTTTTGGATGCACTCAATGACACGTACACGGTTTCATCACCTACACCTAGCTCTCCTATCCTGGATGAGGGCATCCAGTCAACCAAACTAACGCAAACTAAAGTCCAGAAAAAAAAATTCGTGTACATGAGGAAGAAAAATCTTGAGCAGGTGGAATATAACTTGCAATGACAAAACTGCTCAAACCAAAATCCAAGTCCGCATTCAACTGAAATATGGGGTAAGGAGTCTAGTACTCGTGAGTATTACCTTCCTCTTCTGATGTTGGTGACAAGAAAAGCTGCATTAAATATCCAATTCACGAGTATGAAGCATATGGGAAGTTATCCCCATTCTACAAAGCTTTTGTTTCTAACTTTGATAGTATGTGGATTCCTGAATCCAATCATGAAGCATTGGATAATCCAAAAATAACGAAAGCAGCTGATGAGGAGATTCGACCACTGGAGCATAATAACACATGAATTCTTACTAAACTCCCATAGAATAAGAAGCCAATTGTGTGCAAATAAGTGTACAACATCAAATACAAACCTAACAGAAGTATTTTGAAAATCAAAGCCAGACTTGTTACAAACTTTTTCATTCAAGTCTATGGCATCGACTATCAAAAGACCCTCACACCAGTTGCCAAACTTAACAACAACAGAGTACTCCTTTCAGTAGTGGTTAACAAGGAATGGAGATTACATCAACTTGACATATAAAATGCTTTTTTGAATTAGGCTTTGGAAGAAGAAGTGCATATGAAGATAACAATAGAACTGGAGAATGATTTTAACAAACACCTAAAATGCAAATTCATGAATCCTCTTTATGGGCTTATGCAATCACCAAGAGCAAGGTTTGAAAAATTTGCTAAAATTATGAAATCTAATGGACATTCTCAAAATCAAGCTAATTATCTTCTGCTTGCAAAACACACTCAGAATAATAGGATTGTTGGAATGATAATATAAGTGGATAATATAATTCTTACTAGTGAAAATGAAAGAGATTCTCAAGATCAAAAAAGTGTTTGCCACAAAATTTGAAATCATATCTAGGCATGGATGTAGTAAAGTCCAACAAAGAAATCATTATATTACAAAAGAAATACATCCAAGATCTACTAAAGGAGATAGAGATGATTGGATGTACACTTGCTGACAATCTAATGGATCATAACAAGAAGTCAAAAAAGGGAGAGAAAGGCGTCTTTGTGGTCAAAGAAATACATCAAAAATTCATAGAAAAACTCATCTACCTGTCACATATGAGGCAAGACATTTCATAGTTTGTCAATATTGTGAGCCAGCACATAAACAACTCAAATGAAGAACACTTGAAGTAGGTCTACAAAGTTTTGAGGTTTCTCAAGAAGACTCCTGGTTATGGATTAACTTTTGAGAAAACCAAGAAAAAAGAGGTGAAAGTCTACATTAATACTAGTTGGGCTAGAAAACTAATTGAAAGATTGTCCAACACAAGTTATTGCTCTTATGTATGGGAAAATCTGTTGATATGGTGAAGCAAGATACAAATAGTTGTTTCTAGAAACAATGCATAATTAGACTATAGGGCACTCGCCTTCGCCTTCGGAATCTATGAAGAGATCTGGATTCAAAAATTGCTAAGAGAATTGGGGTGTACCTCCAATAGACCGATACAGATATGTTGTGATAGTCAAACAACTATCAATACTGCCAATAATGATGTGCATCTTGACAGTACCAAACATATTGAAATTGATGGACACTTCATCTCTGAAAAAGTTAATGGAGGAATTATACATCTAAGTTACATCCCTACACACCG